AATTTTAGTTCATGGCCAAAGGGGCTGTTGGCATGGAGAGCCTCTCTCTCATTTCTCCTCACTATGTGGTAGATGTTTCAGTCGTATGTATCTCAGGGTTTGAGCAAGCTGTAGTGTTGATATGGACAATATTGAGATCTTTCACTTAAAGTTTGTCGATGACACGATTATCTTCCTCTCTAGTAGTAATCGCATGGCCAATAATGTCCTTGCACTTTTTCATTTTACAAGTATCTTAGGATATCATATCAATCATGCAAAAATAATGCTGGCTAGGTTAATGTTGAGGCGGTTTTGGACTTTCTAGGTGTATTGTGTGCAATGTTTAGCTTGACCTATTATCTCTTTGTTGTCCCCCTTGGGTAAAACTAAGTGTTGGAATAGGGCAAGTATGAGGTGAGTATGTGCATTCCCTTGCTCCATAATTAAAAAATATATACTTGTAGAAATTTGGAAAAAATATTTACACTTTCTTTTTCACTTCTTTCGGTGTTACAACTGACTCGTATATATACAACACTTCCTAAGTACAAATAGGAAAAGTTTACTTATGTTACAACTAAATAATTACATCATTATGGAGAAAATAAATGGTAGGACTATATAGGAAAAATATCACGGTCATTTAGGCAACAAAATATTCATGTCAATACTCCCTTTCAAGTTGGTACAAAGGTATCATACATGCCCAACTTGCATATTAGGTTTTGAAGAGTTTTGTTGCAAAGTCTTTTGGTGAATATATATGCCACCTGATTGTTAGAAGGCATATGATGTAAGCATAAGAAGCCATCGACCACTTTTTCTTTTATGAAGTGATGGTCAATCTCAATGTATTTTGTTCAATCACGTTGAACTAAATTTTGAACAATACTAATAGTTAGTTTATTGTCACAAAATAATGATAGACTTTCTTTTTAAAACAATTTTAATTCCTTCATTAGTTTTTGTACCCATAATAATTCTGTACCCATAATAATTCACATATCCCTTGGGTCATTGTTTTATATTATGCTTTTGCACTAGAACGGGTAATTACATTCTGCTTCTTATTTTTTCATGTAACCAAGTTGCCTCCAACGAGTGTGCAGTAACCGGTAGTTGACTTTCTATCATTAGGAGATGCAGCCCAATCAACATATGTAAATATTTCTATTTTAAGATGGTCATTTCTGAAAAAGAATAAAACTTTTCCTGGTGCAGATTTTAGATATCGTAGTATTCGAAAGATGGCATGTAAACGAGTATCACGAGAATCATACATGTACTCACTAGGCTAACTGCATTTGTGTATCTGGTCTGATATGTGAGAGATAAATGAGTCTTCCAACTAATTTATGATAAATTACTTGTTTGTAATTTGTAATTACTTTCAATAGGGGATTCGGTTGGCTTGCAACCCATCATAGCAGTCTTTTCTACCAAGTTTAGGATATACTTTCTTTAAGAGATAAAAATTACTTTATTAGATATGACAACTTCAATTTTCAGGAAGTACTGCAATTTTCCAAAATCTTTGATTTCAAATTCTTGAGTAATAATTCCCTTTAATCGAGTCATCTCATTTCTATCATCTCCAGTCACCACAATATCTACGTAAATAATGAGAAAAGTGATCATACCCTCACAATACTTGATAAATAGGGTATGATAAACATTACTTTGCTGATAGTCGAAAGAAATCATAACTCTTTTGAACCTTTCGAACTATGCTCTTGGATATTGCTTTAATTCATACAAGGCCTTTTTTAATTTGTAAACTTTCCCTTGTGTTTTTATTTTTAAATCTAGATGAAATTTCCATGTATACTTTCTCCTCTAAGTCCCCAAAGAGGAATGCATTTTTTACATCAATTGGTGTAATTCCCAATCAAGATTAGTAGCGCAGGATAATAATATTATGATTGTATTCACTTTTGCAATAGGTGCGAAGATTTCCTGGTAGTTAACTCCATAACTTTGAGTAAACCCTTTAGTTACTAGTATAGTTTTGTATCTTTTAATCAACCTATCTATTTTGTGTTTTACAGTGAATGTGACATTACAAATGCTGATTAAGGCATAAGAGTTTCAGATACAAAAACAGATTACGAGTGCATAATAATTAAATGTATGCAGCGAAACAATTTATAACAAATCCCTTATAAAATATGAGTTCCCAACTATATATATTTGAGGTCAGAAGTGGTAACAAATTACAAAATATCAAAATGTAAAAAAGGTCACTTCTATCATTATGTAAAAGGATTCATTAGAGTGCAAGACAAGTCATGCACTCAAAAAGGTTTATGAATTCACGGG